CACAAGGCCAGTGCCCACATATGGTTCCCCTTCATGCAGTAAAGTGTCTGCAATCCCACCGCCCTAACTGACTAAGATGTAAGGATCCTAGTGTTAAACCACAAGAGGCAGAAATGGACACATTGACCTGTTGGTGTTGTTATGTGCTGTGGAGTCAGCCATGACTCATAGCGACTGCTCCTTGGGTTTCCAAGGCGGTATCACTACAGAAGTAGATTGCCCAATCTTCATTCCGAGGAGTGGCTGGTAGGTTTGAACCACCAGCCCTCTAGTTAGCAGTCAAGTGCCTTAGGCACTATGCTGCCAGAGCTGTCCCCATTTCTGAGCTGATCCCAGCTACTGCTAGGAATTCCAGCTGGGAAGGTTGACCAATTAGTGAGAACCAGCTCTAATAGCATAGTGCCTAAGGCACTTGACTGCTAACCAGAAGGCTGGTGGTTCAAACCCACCAGCCACTCTTTGGAAGAAAGGTTGGCCAATCTACTTCCATAGTGATTATCACCTCAGAAACCCAAGGAGGGGTCGCTATGAGTCAAGTCTGACTCAAGGGCACATAACAACAACAACATAAAAAACTAAAAACCAAACTCACTGCCATCAAGTTGGATCGAACTCACAGCGACCCCTCCTTGGTTTTCTGAGGTGATAGAAGTAGATTGTACAAACTTCCTTCCAAGGAGTGGCTAGTGGGTTTGAACTGCCAGCCTTCTGGTTAGCAGTCAAATGCCTTAGCCACTATGCCACCAGAGTGAGAACCATATTCTCTAGAAATGTCTGAAGGGATGATTTTGGAGGTTAGGTTATCTGCTGTACGTAGAGAAAGAGATTAGGATAAAGGAAGAATGAAATGCGGGTGTTGCAGGGTTGTTGGAAGGAACTCTGGTGGCCTAGTAGATAAAGGTATTTGGCTGCTAACCAAAAGGTCAATGATTCAAACCCACCAGCCACTCTGTGGGAGGACAGTGGGGCGATCTACTTCTGTAAAGCTTTACAGCCTCAGAAACCCAGTGGGGGTCGCTATGAGTTGGAACTGACTGGATGGCACTGAGTCTGGTTTTGTTTGAGGGGTGTTGGGAAAAACGCTGGCCTTTATAAAGAGCATTGATAGAGAACAACCCAATAGTACCCTCTGCCATATACAAAATACTTTAGAAGTTTGTGCCTTCATGTTAAGGTAAATCTTACTCTCTTTTTCATTTCCCTTTCGTTAAACTAAGGTTCAGTGAGATGAAGTGGTTGACTCAATGTCACACAGCTTGTAATTGTCAGAGCCAGGATTCAAACATGGACCCACCTTACTGAAAAGTCAAAGTTCTTTCTGCTAAACCACGATCAGCCACAGTTGTAACATTGAAGACGGGATTAACCAGTTAACCCGTTGCTGTCAAGTTAATTGCAACTCATGGCTACCCCAGATGTGTCAGAGTAGAACAACACTCCACAGGCTTTTCCATGGCTGATGTTTTGGAAGTAGGTCTCCAGACCTTTCTTCTGAGGCACCTCTGGGTGGACTCAACCCTCCAACCTTTTGATTAGCAACTGAGCAGTTAAATGTTTGCACCACCCAGGAAGCAGGAATTAATCACCCCCAAACACTCAGCATTGGAGGCCAAATCCCATCTCCTCTTCTCTCCTGCAGAAGTATATTTCCCTCCTCAAATAATTCACTTCCTCTGGGAGAGCAGAGAGGTCTCTGCAGAGGTGAGAGAGTCAGCCTTCAGCCCTGAGGTTGGGGCCCAGGGTAGCTGGGCTTGAAGAGCACTTCTCAGAGCTCAAACCCTAGAGAACAAAGAATCCTGTAGGATACCCTTCTCCTCAGGAAAGCGTCGTGCTGTGGTGGGGGAGGGGCATCTGTGAACAGTAATTCTTATAACAAACACCAGATCTCTTATTTTATACCAGATTTTTTTAGTGGTAGTGAGCAGAGGAATCTCTCTATTTGGGAAACAATGAAACTTAAATCACCATGAACCCTGCACTTTCTCCGTTAATTGTGTGGACTTCACTGTGCCTGGAGAACTCATGGACCTTCTTTAGAGGAAGTTATATTTCTGGAAATAAGACTCTCTGGATTCATGAAACTTCCCCTCCCTGTTTCTTAAGGATTTCCTACTTGCTTGTATGATGAGTTTTCTTTACGAAGAGTAGGAGCTTTTTAAGAGGTTCTAATAAATGTTATAGGAGCTCTGGTAGCATAGTGCCTAAGGCACTCCACTGCTAACCAGAAGGCTGGCAGTTCAAACCCACCAGCCACTCCTCCGAAGGAAGATGGGGCAATCTACTTCCGTAGTGATACTGCGTGGGAAACCCAAGGAGGGGTCGCTATGAGTCAGGTCTGACTCAACGGCACATAACAACAACAATAAATGTTATAAGGGAATGAAGCTTGAGGTGTTTAAAGCAGCACAATACCTAGCCCCTAAACCAAACCAAAAACTAAACTCACTGCCGTCGAGTCAATTCTGACTCATAGCGACCCCCTTTGGGATCTTTACGGAAGTAGATCACCCAGTCTTCCTTCTGCAGAGTGGCTGATGGGTTTGAACCACCGACCTTCTGGTTAGCAGTCAAATGCCTTAGGCACTGCTCCACCAGAGCTCCTTCCTAGCCCCTGAGGCAGCTCCCAAACCCATGATTCTCTAGTCCTGAGCTAGTCCGGCTCAGCTCAACCCTGTGGCAATCACCCTGCTGGGAAGCCAGGTGTTTTCAAAGGTCATCTGCTGTGAGTAAAGATGCAGCTATTTTGACCTCAGAAAGAAAGCTTGGGACCATGAAGTCCCTGTGGCTCCAAGGCTGATGCGAGTGGGTTAAGAAAGTGGGATTTGGGACACAATCTGTTACAGGGTCCTTTGTCTCTCTTACAGCAAAGACAACAGAAAGAGAATTTTAAAAGGTTTGTGTAGGTCTCCTAAACCCCTCTGGAAGCAGATGGCACGTCAACAGGTTCCAGGGCAGGTCCCAGAGGCCCCAGACCTCAGAGCCTTATTGGAATGCAATTACCCTAAGTGCTGGCTGTTAGCATGAAAAGGCAGGAATGCAATTATGGAAGGGGCATGCCAGGAGCTTTCATTGATTAACCTGTCCTGTCTGATTCCATTCCCTACTGGGATGATTTTTGTTCCCCTTCCAGGGCTGCCCTGTGCTTATGAGCAGGACAAACAGTCACTACAGAAAGTGAATGCCTAAAGCTGAGTTGGGGAGATCCAGGAAGCCTGTGGTCCCCTGAAGTTGCCTGCAAAATCCACTGGTGCAAAATGCAAGATGTGTATTTTTGAAGAGAAGCTCTATTTTATCACATGCTCAAAGAGGTCTGCAGCCCCAAAAGGGTTAAGAACCACCGTGGGAGGGGAATGAAAGGTCAGCAGTCTGGTTAAAGAGGACTCTGGGAAAAGTCCCTTCAGTGTTCAACTCCAAATGACCATAACCCATCTGGGTTCCATTCTGGCTCTATCACTTACTAACAAGTTATTTAGCTTCTCTGTGCCTCAGTTTCATCTGCAAAACTAGTTGCCATCATGTGTCCATTTGAACTCGTGGTGACCTCATATGAGGGTAAAAATACATCATACGGGTAGTGAGAGAATTAAGTAGCATAAAGAATGTAAAATTCTTAACCCAACATCTAGCCCTTAGTCAGCTCTCAATAAATGTGAGTCATTTGTTCAGAAAATAGGTGACACATACACTTGAACTCTCCTGAGTGGTCTTTTGACCCCAAACCCACAGTACAGCTGGTCCTGATCCCATGAGAAACCTGAGGCAAACTCTTCCTCCAAAACTGAGCCATCGGGCCAAGGTTCTCTAGATATGGCTTTCGTTGTTCCCTTCCCCAGTAGGGCACTTCCCCCTGGGGAAGCACCAGGATTTTGTTCCTGTGGGCTGCTTGGGAGGCAGAGCTTCTGGAAGTGAGGGCACATCAGTGGGGAAGAGCATAGCTGGCTGTCAAAGTCATCACCAGCTCATATGAATAAGTGGCACGTGGAAGCCAACAACTAAACTATTTCTGTTAAAATATCTACATGTCACTTTGGTGGCTAAGGTGAATCTGACCCAAGCCATGTTATTCTCAATCATCTCATGTGCATGTGAAGAAAGCTGCACAATGAATAAGGAAAACTGAAGAAGAACTGATGCATTTGAATTGTGGTATTGGCAAAGAATATTGAGTATACATACCATGGACTTCCATAAGAATAAACATTTATCTTTGGAAGACGTTTCTGGGAATTTTAGTCACAGAAATCTTTCTGCCTGTTGGGATATTATAGTGACACACTCATTTGAGATGGATTTCTGTATCCTAGCAGGCCCAGGGAATCCCTTGATGATGTGAACAGTTAAGCACTTGGCTACTAACAGAAAGTTTAGAGGTTCAAATCTACCCAGAAACACCTTGGAAGAAAGGCCTGGCAATCAACTGCTGGAAAAAAAATCAGCCATTGAAAACCCTATGGAACACAGTTCTACACTGATATACATGAGTGACCATGAGTTGGAGTTGGCCAGAAGGCACATGAAACTGGTGCAGGCCCTAAAATGAAACTAATTCAAGGATCAACATCCACAGAACATCTAGTGTGGGACTAGGAAAGTAAAACAGAAATCTCTCTTCTTCTCTCTTCCTCCCACACCCTCCTCTCCACCCATATCCTCAGAGCTCACCTCTCTCAGGATCTATAGATTTCTCCAGGCATCCTCCATCCCAGCCCCAACTGCACCAGCCTCCTTCCTCTTGCCCACACCCCTCAGCTCTAGGCCCATGCTCCTAACCAAAGCCTCCTCTGTCTCTGGGGTCAGAAGCAGGTGCTATCCCAACTCCAGTAGGGATTTCTTAAGATGGCATTCATGGGAAGATTTTCCTCAGATCCCAAAAAAGGACATACCCAAAGAACAGCAAGGAGAAGCTGGCTCTTATCTGTACATTCATTTATTCACCAATCATTCATTTATTCATTAATCATTCATCCACCCACCCATCAATCATTCATTTGCTTCTTTATTCATTTGATTTGTTTGTATTTCTTCCTTGCTTTGGTTGCAAAAGCAAGACCAACAGATGTTGGTCTTCTCCTGTTTGATCTTCCCCTTGTTTCGGTGGCAGCTGCACAGCAGAAAGTTTCTGACTTCTCAAAGGTAACTGAGATCATCAAAGGGACAGTGCAGAGTTGTCCTCTTCCTGGAAGACCCTTTCCATTTCAGGTTCTGGCCTTTTGCCCCATAATTCAATGGGAGGAGCAATGGAGTCTCCTTAGCCTCATGGGGGAATAATAGCTGTGACATAATGTGCAGTGTGTGAGCTCAGGCTGCTTAAAACCACTTTTCTGAGCCTTCTGGGAGGCATCAGGATGGCACAAACAGTTTGTACCATCCAGGGATCCACTCACCCTACCCTACCTACGCCACTTCAATTTCTCAGCCAGTAGCCAGAGTGATCCTTTGATGTAAATCAGATCTTGTTTGGCCTCTGCTCAAACAAAACCCTGCCATAATTCCCCATTGACTCAGAGTAGAAGCCAAGGCTCTGTGTGATCTGTCTGGCCTCTCACCTACTTATTCCTTCCTTTCAGGCCTCACTGGCCTCATCATTCCTTAAACTCACCAGCCACACTTCTACCTTATGGCTTTCTTCTTCCTGGAATGCTCTTGACCCCACCATCACAAAGTACCAGTGTTTTATAGCTCTAGAGGCTAGATGTCCAAATCAACATATTGGCCAGGTCATGGTCCCTCTAGAGTCCCTAGGGGATGATCCTTTCTTATCTCTCTGTGCTTCTGGTAGCTCCAAGTGTTCCTTGCTTTATAGATACATTTTTACATGTCTGTCCTTCCTCTTTTTGTCTCAGAGTCTCTTCTCCTTTTTTATAAGGATGCCATTAAAATTGAATTAGTACCTACCCTACTCCAGTAAGACCTCATGTTCATTGATATCATCTTCAAAGACCCTGTTTCCAAACAAGGTCACCTTCACAGATACCAGGAGCTAAGACTTCAACAATTCAACCCATAACACTTTCTCACCTCCTCAAGTCTTTGCTCAGTCAATACCTTCTTAGTGACCCCCCCATATTTAAAATTGCGAACTACACACACAGTGCACACAAGCATGCATGTACACCACACTTCCAACCCCTCTTACTCCTTAGCACTCATCACCTTCTAGCATTATATTAATTTCTTATTATTTTTACTATTTGTCATCTGATTCTGCTAGGATATAAGCTTCATTAGGACAGAGATATTTGTCTGTTTTCTTGCCTGATATATTCCAAGAATAGAGAGCAGTGCTTGGTACTAATGGGAACTGTTATGACATTTGTTGGATGAAAGAATGAATGAAACGGCTAGGCTCTGGGAAGCTCTGAGGGTACACTTTGAGAAGTCACCAGCTATGGGGTTTAGAGCTTCCCAGGGCAGAATTTAGGAGGCCTACTGTGGCCTCTATCAGTTGTTCTGAGGAAAGAGGAGCCACTCTCTCCTCAGAGAGTAGAAATCTCCTCAGAGAGAGGAGAGAGGGGAAATTGTCCACTGCCAGCCTTCTCTGGGAGGGAAGGTAGGCAGCAGCATCGGCGGGGATCGAGCTAACTCAAGATGCCAGCTCTGTGCCGCTCTGGGGCTGGCCAGCGCTCTGGATGTCATTAGCTGATTTGTTCTGCTCTGCAGAATGTACTTTTCATATTTAGGCAGAAAAAACAGCTTTCGATCCTCGTGCCCTTTCTTCTGTGAGCTGTAGCACATGGCCTGCTTATTATGAATTAATCCTCTCAAGAGCATGTTCATTATTCTAATTTAATTGTGCTTCGTTTCAGAAAATAACTAAACCCAGCGCGGAATAAACTCCAACACTGATCGGTTTTCAAGAAGTTAAACCTAAGACAAAATACTGCTAGAGGGCAGCAGCAATTTGGAATCATTAAAGGGAACCCATGTAAATAATAAAAACAAAACTAAAATGCAGAATTAAATTAAGGAATAGGAAATTAAATTTGTGAATCTAATCTGAAATTGAGGCCTTATATGCACAGGCTTACCCTGGCTTGGCTCTTTGCTCAGGAGGGCTCCACTGGAGGTTGTGCAAGGTTCCCGAATCAAAGGAAGTGGCACACGTGGGGTGGAAGTACCCAGGACTCTTCTCTGGGTGACAGGGTGCTATCCTGGAAGAGAGATGTGGGCCTCAGGAGGAGGAAGGGGCTTCCCTCCCATGTGATCCCCCTGGTGAAGACGAAAGCCACATTGTCATAGCCACATCTGGAGGACTCGTGCTGCTCTGGCGACCAGTGAAGAAGTGCCTGCAGCCAGGAGTCTGCTCTGCCACTTGCTCTATGCTCTCTTGTTGCTTGCAGAGAGGAAGCATAGGAAATGAGGCAGATGGGCATTCAGCCCCTCTGGCCCTGTTCAACCCCCATGCCCTGGACACCCTCCCACAGGTGACCCCTCTCAGGTCAGGACTGAGGAACGCCTGGGCTTACCTCCTTCCCCTGGGCAGTGACCTCTAAGCAAGGGGTCCTGGCCTCTAATCACTGTCATGAGAGTGCAGTTCCTGAAGGAGGAGACCCAGATCAGGACCACAGCCATCTTGGCAGGTCCGGCCTACCTCAGGCCCAGGCAAAGGAGGAAGGGAGGGGAAGGGTGTGGGTGTGGAGAGGGCAGACCAGACCCAAACTTTAAAGTGTCTGGGAGGTAGGCATGCCAGGGCCAGAGCTAGCAGCATGGCTCAGACTTCACTATGTATTTTTCCAGGATTTTTTAGATCATGTCCCTGGGGTGTTTCCTCTCTTTTCCTCCATATTCCCACCCTCATCTGCTAGCTTTCTCTCTTTTCTATCTTCTCAAAGTGAAAAGAGCCAGACTTCAAAGTCAGACAGACTAATTTGGAGTCACAATTCTGGTACTGGAGCTTGGGCAAACTCTCTCACCTTTCTTAACCTCAGTTTCCTCAAATATAATAATAATAATACCTGCCTCATGGGTTTGTTATGGGGAACAATTGAAATAAAGCACCTGGTGCAAAGAAGGCACTCATGCACTTCTGCAATTTCATTTTCTATTTCACCAGTACTCACTCACACACACTCTCTCTCATACATACACACATGTGCACACACATACATGCATCCATGCACATATGTGCACACAACACACATGCACGCACACACGTGTGCACACATGCATACACATGTGCACACATATGCACACACTCCCCAGAGAACTTCATCCTCTATTGAAAGCCCTAGGCTATGTCTCTACAACACCCTAAATAGTTGGAAAAAAATTCAATCAACCGCTTGCTTTGATTCACAAAGGCAAACATTCAAACAGATGGCCATATCCCTGTATCTGAGTGAAGTTTTCCATTTCCATCTTCATTTTGAATTCTACATAGACAAATTAGCCACCTTAGATCCTTTTTTAAACAAGAAGGGAGTACAAACAAGCCAAATTAAAAAAAAAAAAAAAAAAAGTGAAGTCACATTTTTCTTCTTTAATTTGCATCTTGAAGTCCTGATGAAGGAAATTATGCACATAATTTAGCCCATAGTGCTGTTGATTGGCCAGTTAATTAAACAGTGATTGAATCTAAAAATACTAAACATGAGCTAATCAGAGCAAAAAGGGTTAAGAGTTCTCTTGAATTTTGTGGTGACTTCTTGGATCTCACTCTACCAACTGCCCCCCAGAGAGTGTGGTAGATCCCTTGAGCATTGCATGATTTGGTGAGGCACCATGGTCCACAGCTCTCTTCTACATTCCCGAGTAAACCCACGAAACCAGATCTGCAGCATGGATCCAAGACCGTCTGAAGATCCATCTTTAGTGTCAGTGGAAAGGAGGTAGGAGAGCCAAGTCCTAGCCCAAGGCTACCAGGGAGAAGGAAGTGTTCATCTGAAGGGACAGGAAGGTCACAATGGTGGCCTGCAGCTAGCTCCAAAAGCCAAGCCAAAAAAACCAAACCCATTGCCATGGAGTGATTCTGACTCATGACAACCCCATGTTACAGAGCAGAACTGCTCCGCAGTTATTTCTTGGTTGTGATCTTTATGGAAGCAGACTGTCAGACCTTTCTTCCACAGTGCTTCTGGGTGGGTTCGAACCACCAACTTTGGGTTATCTGCCAAACATAAACTCCTTGTGCCACTCAGGGAACTTTTAGATTCAGGGGCAAGTGCTGCAAAATGACCCTTGACTCTTAAGAGTTAAATTAAGAAAAAGGTACCCAAATCTCTTCAACACACAAAGCTCACAATATAAGAAAGCTCTCAAAGGTGTACCTAGGGGGTGTCAATTACTAGGAAACTGGTGTGAACTAGGTCAGTTAAATGGTTTCTGTAGTTTTAATCCTGAATGACAGCTTGTTTTCAGAGGAGGGGCTTGCCTGCCCAGGAGGGCATCTCTATGGAGGGGGCAGCTTCACCTTTTGTCAGTGACACTCAAATCCTGCCTGCCCAAGACAAATGTTTCTAAGATGATTGCACCCTAAGGGCCAAACTAATTTCTCTTAACCAACCAAATTCCTTTCCACATAAGGTCCATATAGTTTGGGCCCACATGACCCACCCACTCATAAAATCTATTCACCCATGGACCCCTTTCTCCATTGGCTAACACTGTTATTGGATCATACTGGAGCCTCCTAACCACTGTATAGTATTTCTTTTCCCTGTTGATCACCAGCTCCCCTAGTCAGCAAATTTATTCATAACCGTAAACAACCAGTTATCATTGAGTTGATTCAACTCATGGCAACCTCATGTGTATCAGATTGGCACTGTGCTCCATAGGGTTTTCAGTGGCTGATTTTTCAGAAGTAGATTGCCAGGTTTTTCTTCCAAGGTATTTCTGGGTGGACCTTTAATTTAACAGCTGATCATGTTAACCATTTGTACCACAGAGGGATTCCAATCTATTGATAGTATCCTAATTATAGTTCACACACACAAGAGAATTTCCTAGGCCTCTGATGATTCACATCTACAAAGTAGATCTGTGTTTTCAAATTGCCTTCACACTTCTTTTTCCCCTGATCCTTAAGGGACAGCTCACCTAGGTCTTCTTGGTCATTCTTGCCTTTTGGCAAATGTTGTGACTGTGCTCTGTTGGCTTATGGTTCTGTAGACGATATTATGTTTTCTCCGTTTTGTGGATGGGCTTCTCACAGTATGTGAGGGCAACATGGACTTGACAGCCAGTAGAACATTCCTGGAGGAAACAGCTTTGTCAGTGTGCAGGTACTCATTCACATTCCTCTGGTTTTGTAAGAAACACATCTGCAGTGGGCATATGTA